TGGACCCAGGCGCGGGTCGACAGGCATTGCTGGGAGCTGCGGGGCACTGCCAGGTGCCACCGCGCACGCTGGCGCGCTGCTGGAAGCTGCGGGGCACTCCCGGGTGCCACCACGCACGCTGGCGCGCTGTGATGAAGATCGTGTGTTTCGATTGCCGATAAGCCGCTAATCCACGCCTTCGCCGATAGGTGTTTCTCTAGCCACAACCGCACCTATAGAAACGAATAAAATTGCAATAGAAATCTAAAAGAAATCTAAGACAAAGTGTTTGAACAAAAGTTCGAATTTTTATTAATAAACTTGATGATGAAAAATAACATGGGGGAATGGCCTTTATATAAGCACAAAATATATCTAGTCCTAATCTACCTAGGGAAATAATAAAGCAATAAAATATTAAGTAACCTAAACAATCTAGATCTCAAAAAGCAAGTTGAAATCTAAATAACTTGTTGTGCAGTCCAAGGAACTCTCTCTCTCTTTATTCTCTCTCGCACGCACGCCCTTGCACCGCCTCACTTGCGCGCCGCCTTCATCGGCCTTAGTCCTCGAGGACTAGGGCACCGCCTTTAGCGCGTGCATGCTCCCCCGGAGTATCGCGCACGCCTGCGCCTTGTGCGCCTTTCCCATGCGCGTGCCCCGCCGCCAGTACGCACTCCTCAAGGAATGGGGCTTCGCGCCCCGCGCGTGCTCGTGCGTCATCCGCGTCCTTCGCGCGCTGCTCCGCTGCGCTCGTCATGCGCGCTTCTTCGCCAGTCACCCGCGTCCCGCTCACGCACGCCAACCGCGCACACCTTCTGGCCAGCTCCCGCTCGCCCATCACGCATGCTAGTTGCGCGCGTTCGTCCTCGCCCGTTATCAGGCCATTTCCGCACCCCTCGCGCGCACCATGCTCAAGTGCGCGCATTTCTGCCGTCTCTCGTGCAAGCCTCTTGCGTGCGTGATATTCCCGACTCGCGGCGTTCTTGAGCTGCCTAGCCACTTCCGCATCATTCCCGTCCCCTTCAAGTGATTCCTTGTCCTCAAGGATGAAACTTGGGAATTGATCGCGCATCTCATCAAGGTATTCCCACGTGGCTTCTTCAGGTGGCAGCTCTTCCCAATCAACTAGTACTTCCCAGCGATAGCGTCCTGCTTTCCTCAGTTTGCGATACTCAATCGCACGTTTTGGGCGCACAATGATCCTACCATCTGTTGCGGTTGCTGGCAATTCCTCACAATACTTCTGTGCTTCTCCTAAACTTCTATTGAGTTGTGAGACATGAATAATTGGGTGGATCTGCGAACTTTCTGGCAATTCTAGGCGATAAGCTACCTGACCAATGCGCTTCAGAATCTAATAAGGGCCATAGTAGCGTACTCCCAACTTAGTCGTTGCCCTCTGTGCTGTCGTGCGCTGTCTGAAGGGTCGCAGTTTAAAGTAGACATACTCGCTTGGCGCGTAAGTCTCTTCTCTTCGCTTTCCGTCTACGAAGGTTTTGATTCGGTTAATCGAGCCTTCGAGATTTTTCTTTAACTCGCGCAACATCAATTCTCGCTCCTTGAGTTATCGACCGACTTCGTCGTTAACTGTGCCTCCTTCTGAGTAGTTGACCAGCGTTGGCGGTTTACGCCCGTACACCAGCTCAAATGGAGTCATCTTGGTTGATTCATGGTAGGTGGATTGTACCATTACTCAGCCCAGGGCAAAAAGTTTTCCCATCTCTTTGAGAATTGGTGAACATAGCACCGTAGGTATTGCTCAAGAGTTTGGTTGGTTACCTCGGTTTGTCCATCGGTCTGTGGGTGATATGCTGAACTCATGGATAGTTTGGTTCCCTGTAGCTTGAAAAATTCGAACCAAAAGTTGCTCATGAAAATCCTATCCCGATCAGAAACTATAGACCGCGGAGCTCCGTGCAGCTTCATCACGTACTCAACGAATAGTCTGGCAATTGACTTTGCTATGTAAGGATGGGTGATGGGTATGAAGTGGGCATACTTTGTAAGTCGATCTACTACGACCATAACACCGTTGAACCCATTAGAACTTGGCAACCCTTCGATGAAATCCATAAAAATGTCCTCCCAAACTGCATCGGGTACCGGTAGGGGCTGCTGTAGTAGGCTGCTTGGTCGTCACGAGTTAGCCTTAGTGCGTTTACAATCATCGCACCTCGCGATGTAGTCCCGGACCGTGCCTTGCTGTCCTGGCCAAAAGAAGGTATTAGCTATTCTCATCCATGAGCGGTAGATACCCGAGTGACCTCCAATCTTAGAATCGTGGAAGTGTTGCATGATCTTCTCGTGTAGCTGCCCACCGTCGAGAACTAACACTCGGCCTCGATGTAGTAAAAGGCTGTTGTGCAGCTCATAATCAGCAATGGTCTCTCCTGCCTCGATCTTTTGACGCACTTCCTTGCAATAAGTATCCTCTTCTTGCACCTTTCGAACTTCCTCCCAGATGGTCCACGTTGGTCCAGTAATAGCATCAAGCTCAGCTACATCTGTCCGGCGAGATAAGGCGTCAGCTACAGCATTCTGTCGACCTGGCTGGTAGACTATCTCAAAGTCAAAACCCATAAGCTTCGAGACAAATTTCTGTTGTTCTAAGGTAACGATCCTTTGCTCTAGTAGATGCTTGAGCGGCTGCTGGTCGGTTACAATCCGAAAACGTCGCCCCAACAGATAGGGCCTCCAGCATCTCACTACTTCAACAACAGCTAGCATTTCTTTGACATACACAGATAGACCCAATCGAGTCGTGCCTAATGCCTTGCTGAGATAGGCCAAGGGTCGTCCTTCCTGCACTAGCACGGCTCCAATCCCAATATCACTAGCATCTGTTTGTACCTCGAACAAGACATCAAACCTTGGCATAGCGAGTACTGGCGTTGTAGTCATGGCGCCCTTCAGTTTCTCAAAGGCCTCCTCGCTAGCCTTGGTCCATGTGAACCCTCCTTTCTAGGTCATCTCTGTAAGTGGCTTGGCAATGGTTGCATAATCTTTCACAAACTTCCGGTAATAGCCCGTGAGCCCTAGGAACCCTCTGAGTTGCATGAGACTCGATGTCTTGGGCCAGTCGACCATTGCCTCTATCTTTCTTGGATCAACCGTCACGCCATTATGAGATATAAAGTGGCCTAAGTACTCGACCATCTCCTATCCGAATGAACATTTGGACGACCTGATGTGAAATGAGTTAGCCTCCAAGACTTCAAGCACCACTCTCAAATGCTCCAGATGTTCAGCTCATGACTTCGAATATACCAATATGTCATCAAAGAAGACTAGAACAAACTTACGTAGATGCTCCTTGAAGATGGAATTCATAGCAAACTGGAAAGTGGACGGGGCGTTGCATAGCCCGAATGGAATCACCAAATATTCATAGTGTCCCTGATGCGTACGAAAAGCTATCTTCGGTATGTCAGCCCTGTGGAGTCGAATCTGATGATAACCAGCTCTCAGATCGAGCTTTGAGAAGTAACGTGATCCAGCTAACTCATTGAGCATGTCGTCGACACTAGTAATAGGGAATCGATCCTTGATAGTCGCGGCATTTAGAGCTCGATAATCAGTACAAAACCTCCATGTGCCATCTTTATTTTTAGCTAGCAGTACTAGTGAGGAAAACGGACTCTTGCTATGTTGAATTAACCCCGATTCTAGCATCTCAGCCACTTGCCTTTCAATCTCAGTTTTCTGGAAGTGAGCGTACCTATAGGGATGAACGTGTACTGCATGTTGCTCATTAATCAGGGGTATGCGGTGATCGAACTCCCGGTGAGGTGGTAGGCCCTTGGGTTCGCCTAGCACTCCTTCGAATTCCTCAAGAAGCTCGCGCACATCGGCTTGCTGCTGTCCAGCCTCTTCCGTGTGCGGCTCCCTACTTTCGACTACTACCGCGAATATTTGACCACCACTTTGCCAAACTCTTTCGATACTCTTCAACCCAACTCCTTTAGTTACTTTCTCAGTACCTGTGCTCAGAGTGACTTGTCGTTCTCCAGATTTGAACTCCATAACTCCAGTCCGGTAGTCGGTGGTCACCTTGCCTAACCCTTCGAGCCATTGGACTCCTAGCACGACATCAGGTCCGACTAGGGGTAAAGCATAGAGATCAACCTTTACCGTAACTCCTTGGAACTTGATCGGCACCTTTCGAAAAGATTCAGCGCATTGCAGCCTCTCACCATTAGCTACTCGTACCTCAAAAGGCTCAATCTTCGTGGTTGGTAAATTCAGCTTCTGGGACAAATCAACATTAATGAAGTTGTGTGATGACCCATTGTCTACGAGCACCATCACCCTACGATCCTTGACCCAAGCTGGCAATCGCATCGTCCTTGGCCCTCTAATCCCTGCCATTGCGTGCATCGAAATTTCTGCTTCTTCATCAGGCACTTCAACCTCATCCTCCTGATGTGGTTCTTCCTCGACCTCAGATCCTTCCTCATCAGAATTAGCAACTTCGATCACAAAAGCTTGCTTACATTGATGGCTTGGCGTAAATTTCTCTTCGCATTTGAAACATAGGCCCTTCTCTCGTCGACGCTTGACTTCCTAGGGATATAGCCGCCTAATCACTGGCCCTGGTGGTCGAGCGCTGAAGGTCGGTCGTGCGCCCACGGTATCATGATCGGGCCCGTGCGGTCAGTTATTGGTGAATCGGCCGTCTGCCCGTCCCTTTCGTGTTGCAACTAGATGGTCTTCGCGGCGTCGGGCTACCTCCATGGTTGTATGCATCATGTCTGGCCGTTCCAGTCGGACTTCTACGGCTAGATCAAACTTCAGGCCACCTATGAAGTCTCCCACCAGTGCATCCTCGGACCAATCTCGCACGCGGCAGGCTATGCGTTCAAACTCTTTGATGTAGTCGCGCAAGCTGCCCATCTGGCGTATACGTGCGAGAGCCTCGTTGTAGTTATGGTAATCGGATGTACCAAAGCGTGTGAGCAATTCCCTCTCAAAGTCGGCCCATGTGATTATCTGCCTCTGCTTACGGTAGATTCTTGAGAGCCATTGCCACCATACATTGGCCTCACCATCAAAGTTAAAATACTGCGTACCTTACTCGGTCGTAGCCTTCAGTTTCGTTGAGTTCGAAGTATTGCGCAATACGGTTGAGCCAAGCCTCCGGATCACTACCCGTGAAGGTAGACATCACGAATCTTGGCTTGTCGGGCCTCGGCCGCTCTCGGTAATTGGATGCCTGTGATTGCTGGTCGAACTCGTCCTCATGCTCGTAGTCTCCGCGACGCCGTTCCCCGTCACGCTGCTCGTGCGCGCGCCGCTCCTCGCACCGATCCCCGCGCCGTGGGGATGGCGTGCGCTCGTCGTTCTCGGTGTGTTGGCGGTGTTCGCGCCTTGGATAGACGTCGTGCTGCTGTGGTGGTTGCTGCTGGAACGCGCGCAAGGCCTCTTCTAATCGCTGCTCGAGTCATGTCACGGCGGCGTTGGTGTTGCCTTGGCCTTCGTCGAGCGATCCAAGCCTTCCCTCCATAACTTCGCTCATACTCCGCATCTGGATGTCAAGATTATCGATCTTGTCCTTCATCTCTTTATTGGCCATTGCTTTCTTCTCTTCTCTACTCTCTTTGCTTCGAGGACTCGTGATGATGATGATATTTATAATTTTATTTTATTTTTTGATAGGGGGGACGATAAAAGAAGAAGAAAAAGAAAGGGAATGGGGTAGAAGAAAAACACACGATCTAACACCTCTCAATGAAAGCACCAATGATGAAGATCGTGTGTTTCGATTGCCGATAAGCCGCTAATCCGTGCCTTGAATCGCTGATAGGTATTTCTCTAGCCACAACCGCGCCTATTGAAACGAATAAAATTGCAATAGAAATCTAAGACAAAGTGTTTGAACAAAAGTTCGGATTTTTATTAATAAACTTGATGATAAAAAATAACATGGGGGAATGGCCTTTATATAGGCACAAAATATATCTAGTCCTAATCTACCTAGGGAAATAATAAAGCAATAAAATATTAAGTAACCTAAACAATCTAGATCTCATAACGCAAGTTGAAAACTAAATAACTTGTTGTGCATGTTGTCGTATGATTCTTAACAACGATGTAATGTTGAGTTTATGTGATAATTTCAAGTGGTTTGGACGTAAATCATACAAGAAAAACTAAACAGTGGCCCCGGTCTGAGGTGGACCGAGGTGAAAGGCCTTTATGGGCTGCTCCGTATTTCATTGTAAAACTGTTGGGTTCCGAATCGAATCCCCTTACAGATATCAGTGGCTACCTATTTATAGTAATCTTTTTTGTTCACACATTGGGATCTGTGCATCGTTTTGATATAAAAAGCTATTTTCGAAGGGCGGTTGGATCAGTGGGCCCCTGCGTGAATGATGACAAATCTCGTAGATCGTGATAGGGGCATGTAGGCGCCTCGTCACCTGCTTTCGGAGATGACGACCTTGGTTCATGTTGACCTCGGTTTAGAATGATTTCAGCGGGAGAGGATCACTTTGGTCTTTTAGGGTTGTACCGGTTTATTGTGCGAACTGGGATGACTCTAAGTTTTATCGGTATCCGAGTAAAACTTGCTTATGGTGCTGTTTTGGGCCTTTAATTACGATTTACCGAGTCGGATGATAACAGAGAGGCCCCCAATATCGGCGATCACACGAAGTGATGGTAGTCGATATTGCAGTATAATTGGAAGCTTCGAATCGGTAAGAGACTGAAAGCTAGACATACTGTATTCTCGCGCGCTTGAGGTAATCGGAGTGGGTCGTACCTTCCGAAGTGGAGTTGAGTACCGAGATGAAAACACTTGGCGAAAATCTGTTATTCTCTGGGGGAATAATAGGAGGAATATAAACAGACGTAACGGTCGACAACTTAATGTTAATGCGAATGGTCGCGCCGTAATGGTCTTAAATGAGGTAACGGTCGGCTTTAATAGGGTGCCACGTGTTTTAGTAGGCCTCTGTTAGATGAAAAGGTGGCACCGGTTGGAATTAGCGGTCGTGTCGGTTGTACGCGCCCCTAATTAGGATCTCTAACAGTCAGAAATTGGAGATTATGAATAGCTCTTCGCGATTTCTGATCGAACTTTCTTCACTTTCGCTTCAATTCTTGAGCTTTTGCATACAGTAACTTTTTTTGTTGAATTTCCCTTGAAAACTTAAAAGTTGTTCTTCGTGCATTGTTCGACTGCGGATTCTCGGTAAGCTTCACCTTTAATTTTTATTTTGTTATTTGTCCTGTGTTCTTCGTTTCGTGTGATGGCGTCAAAGGGAAAGGGTAAGGTGGTGGCGAGTTCTTCTAGTACCGAGTTAGTTCCCTTGGAGGTGTATCATGACTCGCAGCTGGTTGAATTGGCTTTTGAGTATTATCGGTGGGATCCGATGTTGGTAGGGCATTTGGATATTAAGCCCGATGACGAAGATGGTGATCGGGTGGTCGAAGAGAACGCGGCCGATATCGAGGTGCCTCACTGGAGGAGACCGGTGAGGACGTGGCCTGATCCTGCGGTCGATTTTGAAGGCGAGCCAAGCATTTTGACAGATGCTGATGTGGTAATGCTTCGAGAGCAGATTCGGATCCCACCCTCGGTGAAAATTTTTCCACCATATCCGGGGGAGAGAATAACCAGTCCTCCTCCGGGTTGTGTCGGAGTTTTCGTTGAGAGTCTGAGGTCGGGATTAAGATTTCCTTTGCCAAATTTGATCACGGAGTACCTCCGGAGTTGGGGGTTACCGTTGTGTCAGATTACCCCTAATAGTTGGAAGAAGATAATCGGTTTAATGGTGCTACTGCACGAGCAGGGTGAGGGATTGCCATCATGTGAGGAAATAAGGAGCATTTTTGCATTTAAGAAGAGTCCGAGGAGACATGTTGCGGAGTCTTCGTGCTGTTTCTTTGCCGGAGCGAAGCCACAACATGGCCTTAAAGTTGGCGAAATAATAACCGATATTCCAGAAACTCTCCATGGATTCCAGGAGGAGTGGTTATGGATTGGGGGAGAGTGGCAATCCGAGAGCTTTTTCCATGAACCTCGGATTGACGGGATGACGATTCCGATGTTAATTCATTCCGGAGCAAGTGTGTTTATTTCATTTTTCAATCCGGATATACCTTTCTGATTACGTTTTGTTCTGTGCACTAACAGGTCGGAACTTTTGCCCTTTGTAGAAAAAGAGACCAAGCAGAAGGAGCCGAAGTTGAGTCCTGAGTTCGGTGGGAAATTAATCACACTCGCCGGCTTAGATAAGGAGGTTCGGGATTATCGCAAACTTGTAGTAGATTCAAAGCTTGAAGCTGCTGGTTTGTCTCCGGGAGTTTCTACTGTAAAGTTTGACCCCGGTAAGGAATCTTTAATAGCTGTCGCTTTTGTCAACACTTCTATGTATGTGAAATGATTGTCGATAACTCTGATTATTTTTCGCTCAAATGCAGTATACTATCCGCTCCTCGGATTTCTGGGCTATAATTCTGTCAAGGAGGCGAAGGAGTTTAGGCGTAAGTACCCCAACAAGGACCTGCAATCCAAGTTTGGCAAAAGTCGAGATTTGCGTTTAAACAACGTCATGAGGAGAGATCTAGTTCGCGCCTTGGTGAAGAGGACAGCTGGCCAGAAGAATGCTAGCAAGTCGACCGAAGTAGGGTCGAGTGCGACCTCGGCTGCTGTACCGGAGAGCCCGAAGTCTCTGAGAGAGGTGACAACTACCGAGGTTCCGCCAGTTGTAAACGCGGCTGCAATCAATCAAGCGGAGCCTGAACCCAATGTAGTGGGAACCGAGGTGGCTGTAGCTGTGCCGCCGCACTCCGGAGCACGTGAAGACGAACCAGAGAAGCTACCATCTCCTTCGAGGTCGGTGGATTCCACTCAATTGTGGAGAAGGAAGAAGAGGAAACTGGTGAAGATGTCTGATGTAGGGGCCTCTTCTGGAGCAGAGAAGAGGTCAAAGAAGAAACACGACTCCGGTCGTAGATCCGGCGAAAAGAGGATTGATGAGGCGCCTCTATTTGAGAAATCATTCTTATCGATTGATGAAGAGAGGGCTGCCAAAGTGAAGGTGCCCGAAGGTGTCGTGGAGGAGTGGTTCACTACATTCCAATCCGTTAAGTCTCCGCACATGTCCTCGAGGATCGATATGCCGGAGAATGCAAAAGGCGCAGCAAGGGTGCCCTTGATGGTATGGGACCCGAAGTCCAAGGTGGGCGTCTCTTCGTTGTCAAGTGTTGACAAGTTAAGCTATGCTAAGGCATGCTTGGGCCGGGCTTTAGTTAGTCTTGTTGCTGCTGAAGATGATCATAGCCGGATCGCGGCTCAACTGGACGGGAAGAGAGACACTATCGCCGCCCGAGATGCAATGATTGCCTCGTTAAAGGAGGATTCGGCTAAGGTGGAGGTCGACTTGAAAGGTAAAATTGCTGAACAAGTCACTCAGTTGGAAGTGGCGCAGACTGCAATCTCGGCGCTGTCCGAGGAGAAAAAAGCATTTGAGGCCGAGGTGGCCGACCTTAAGGCGCGTCTTGCCTTTTCCGAGCAACATTCCAAGGCTTTAGAGGCCAAGTTTGAGGAGGCAGAGAAGGCACTGTTTGATGAGAAGGCTGGACATGAAGCGACTCGCAGGGAGTGTACCGAGGTCTGCGAGCTTGTAGGTCGGCAGAGGGATGCCCATCAGGCCGAGATGGAAAAGCTTGAAAAAGAGAAGTCGTCTTATGGTGAGACCATGTACGAGATCGGCTTCCAAGCCGGTAAGGAGACTGTTGCAGCTGTGGAACCAAAGTCCGTTGATGATACCGAAGCTGAAGCTGTTGACGCTGGTGAAGACGATGAGGTCGGTGGGCCTGACCTTGAAATTGAAATGAACACCTGCTTGAATATCCGATGGGTCATCGAGCGTTATGATGCGGGTTATTATGACATCGATGATATCCGTTTATTCTTATTCCGCAAACTCGCAAAATATGGCTTTGACACCGAGATAAAGGGGATGCACGTGGAGGCTGATGAGGATGAACGGGAATTTTGTGTTTGGATGCTCTGCCGATCTGAAGAGATGAATGCGAACCCTGACCTGCCGCCACTTTCTGAGGATAGAGCTGCTCTCCTCCGACGTGCTTATGTTAATATGATTTTGGAGGGAGAGAAAGAGAAAAGGAAGGAGCTGGCCGACGTATATCTCTCAACTCTTGCCGATGTGGAGGTCGAACAGCACTTTGATGATATGACCCCGGAGCAGATTCAGAACAGGGTTAAGGCCTATATTGAGGAAAAGGCTAAGTCGACCGATAAGGAGGTCGAAGTTGTCAAGGTTGTCACGCCGGCTGAGGGTGATTCAGATAAGGTGCAGGATCCTCGTGATGAGTTTATCCCGGTGTCAGATGGAGCCATCGAGATTGCTGCCAAGGCAAAGGAGGTGCAGGTGTTAGAGCGATTGACTTCAGGGACCGAAGTCGGGGAAGGTAGTGGTGCGGGCGGCAATTTGGAGAAGGCGACCGACGCGGCGTGAAGTTTAGAAGTATTATATATTGTTGTACTTATTAATTTTTGAAATAAGATATCGGGGCGCCAGCATGTTGGCATCCTTAGTAGGAAATATATGAATATGTAATCGGGGATATCAGGTAGCTGATTCCCTTAGTAGGAAAATATGTAAGGGTTTTCTCGACTTTTTAAGATTATATATGATGTGTTTGCATAATGTCTGTTTTGATTTAAGTTTGCTGTACGAATTTCAGCGATTTTTCGGCCAAGTGTTCTGAACTCAGTACGGGTTTTAAAATGAATTATCGCAACTTGGATCTAGTTATATTACTAACCAAGTTGTGGATTTTGTGTAAAAATAACTTCCGAGTTCCACTTGGGTCTTTTTTAATAATTTCAGCCACTAGTGCAAGTTGTTTATGCGAACTTACTAGGAATTCGCATGACTTAACACATTTTCGGGCTGTGCATAAAATAAAGTAGAGTTCACCGAACTTCGTCAGAGTTCGATTATGGAATGGCCCCAACCGATTTATATCTTTTGTATTCGGTAGTTTTCGGGACCCGCCAAATCATGTTCGTTGAAATGACTTTTGACGAGCTTCAATCCCCAACCGAACCGTGCGTAGGATTCGGATAGATTACGAGGTATCAGCTAGACCGAGTGTCGCAATGCTTACGTCGGTACAAGTTATTTATACAACCGAGTTTCGAAGAGTTATACATCGGTACCGAGTTGATGCTCGGATTTCCAAAAGTGAAAGCCAATAGACTTTTGGTACATCAAAAGAGTCACTTAGTACATTCAGTGAAGCAAAAGGAAGATCCGTTCAAAAGAAGAGTCAGACATCCGACTTCGGACCGTTTACTGATAGAACTACTTTAGGAAAACAGCATTCCATGGATATTGATGTGGAGTTCCATCAGGGTGTGCGATTCGGTAGGCCCCATGAGGTAGGACATCAATAATTCGAAAGGGTCCTTCCCACCTCGGTTTGAGTGGACCGGGGTCGGCTCCCGTTATACGTTTAAGGACTAAATCTCCAACTCGGAATGTATGCAGCTTGAATTTAGAATTAACGTATCTTTCACTCCGGTGTTTATAAGCAGCATTTTTTAGCTCGGCGCGGGTACGATGTTCTTCAAGCAAGTCCAGATTGGTTTTCATGTTATCCGAGTTGGACTCTTCGGTAAATTTTTGAATTCGGTACGTAGGTTCACCGAGCTCGACTGGGACTACGGCTTCCGATCCGTATGTAAGTGAGAACGGGGTCTCGCCGGTGGAAGTTCGGGTGGTTTTCCGATATGCCCATAAAACATGTGGCAATTCTTCAGGCCAAGCTCCTTTGGCAGCATCGAGTCGGACCTTAAAACCATTTTTTATAAGCTTGTTCACAGCTTCAACTTGACCGTTGGATTGCGGGTGGTGAGGTGAAGAGAAAAAGTGTTTGATGTTGTATTCTTCACACAGGGACTCAAGTCGTTTGCCTTCAAATTGTCTACCGTTGTCGGTAATGATGGAGTTCGGCACCCCGAAACGGCAGATGATTGATTTCCACACAAAATCGACGACTTTCTGCTCGGTTATCGTGGCTAATGGTTCGGCCTCGGCCCATTTAGTAAAATAATCAACTGCCACGATAGCAAATCGGACGCCTCCTTTTCCGATTGGCAGGGGACCTATGAGATCGATCCCCCACTTGGCGAAAGGCCACGGACTATAAATTGATTTAAGCTCCTCGGGAGATTGGTGGACGTTGGGGGCGAATATTTGACATTTCAGACATTTGCGAACCCAGGTGGCGGCGTCAATTTTTAAGTTCGGTCAATAATAACCCTGTCGTAAGATTTTGTAAGACAAGGCCTGTGCACCGGGGTGACTTCCGCAGATTCCTTCATGGACTTCTTCAAGGATATATCGATAGTCAGATTCACCCACGCATTTCAGAAGTGGGACGGAGTATCCTCTTTTGAACAAAGTTCCATTGTCCAGGGTGTACCGAGCTGCTCAAATTCGGAGTGCCCGAGCTTCTTTGGGGTCCGGAGGCAAGGCCCCTGTTTCCAGGTAAAGAATTATAGGATCCATCCAAGTTGGTGGTCTTTATGATGTCACCGGATCGATAGTTATGACTTCGGAAAGGGTGGTTGAAGGATTTTCTTGTTGTCCGATTTGGACATACTCCATGCTCTCCATCCCGGTACTTGAGGCTAATCGAGAGAGAGCATCTGCTTGAACAGTGAGGGTTCGTGGAATGTGCTCTACTTCGGCAGCGAACTTTGTCAACTTCTTTTTTGCCAAAGACAGATACGGGGTCAACCGAGGTTCTTTAACTTCGTACAAGCCATTAATTTGATTGACGAGGAGCTGAGAGTCTGAAAAAAATTTTAGTTGTTTCACATTCATAGATTCAGCTAGATTTAATCCGGATAGCAAGGCCTCATATTCGGCTTCATTGTTTGTTGCCGGGAAGAGAAATTTCACCGAGTGGCAGAATAATCGGTTTTCTGGGTTTGCCAGGACTATTCCTACACCTGCTCGGTTGGCTGTTGAGGAACCGTCAATATAAAGAACCCACGGTTGATTATCATCATTAACTGTTATTGCCGGAGTGAATTCGGCGATGAAGTCGGATAAGGCTTGTGCTTTAATTGCGGTCCTCGGTTGATAATGGATGTCAAATTGTCCGAGCTCGATGGCCCACTTTATCATGCGTCCCGAGGTGTCGGGTCGGTGCAGGACTTGGCGCAATGGATACGAAGTGCGGACGGTTATAGAATGTTCTTGGAAATAGGGTCGCAATTTCCGGGCGGCAATTACAAGTGCAAACGCTAACTTTTCCATAGGAGGGTAGCGCAGTTCGGCATCATGTAAGGCTTTGCTGATGTAATAAACGGGTGATTGCAGCGTTCATTCTTCACGTACCAAAACAGCGTTGATCGCAGAATCACTGACCCCAAGGTATAAAAATATCATTTCCTCGGGTTTCGGCTTTTGTAACGTCGGTGGAGAGGCAAGTGTCTCCTTGATGCTGATGAGAGCTTTTTGACATTCTTCGGTCCATTCAAAGCGCTTTCCCCTTTTGATTGCTTCGAAGAAAGGTTGGCAACGATCTGTGGATTTGGAGATGAACCGGTTGAGCGCAGCGAGTCGGCCAGTTAGGGCCTGAACACCCTTAACCGAAGTCGGGGAAGTCAGATCTTGAATGGCTTTTATCTTGGCCGGGTTGGCTTCAATTCCGCGCTGGCTGACCATATAGCCCAGAAACTTTCCAGACTTAACTCCGAAGGTGCACTTTTTGGGGTTTAAAACCATGGAATAAGATCAGAGGATATCAAACATGCCTTGAAGGTGTGTTATATAATCTGAAGCGTGCACCGACTTGACAAGCATGTCATCAACATAAACTTCCATAGTATGACCAATCATCGTGGCAAACATTTTGTTGACAAGGCGTTGGTAAGTGGCTCCGGCGTTCTTCAACCCAAACGGCATCATGGTATAGCAGTACAGGCCTCGTGCCGAATAAACCGAGGTGTGTTCGGAATCTTCGGGATCCATAGGAATCTGATTATAACCGGAGTATGCATCCATAAAACTCATTAACTCGTGTCCCGACGTGGCGTCAACCATGTAGTCGATGTGTGGGAGTGGGTAACTGTCCTTCGGACACGCCTTGTTCAAGTCGGAAAAATCAATACACAGTCTCCACAGACCATTGCTCTTCTTGACAAGAACGGGGTTTGAGACCCATGTCGGATACTTGGCCTCTTTTGATGAATTTGTTATCGATGAGTTTCTTAACTTCTTCTTCCAATGCTTTCTGACGATCTGGCCCCAGTTTCCTTCGTTTCTGAACAACAGGCAGGACGGTTCGATCGAGGTTCAACTTGTGACTAGCGACACTGGGGTCGATGCCCTTCATATCTTCGTGCTTCCAGGCAAAAACATCAGAATTGTGTTTGAGAAATGAAATAAGATCTGACCGGAGAGGTTCTTGAAGATGACTTTCGATGCGCAATGACTTATGAAAGATTGGTTCATCGATGAATATTAATTCTACTTCTTCTCCAGGTTCGGCTCGATCATTTCGGCTTTTGTCCTTGAATTGAGCCCTCGGGTCCAACTCGTCCTCCTCAAGGAGTGGTTCCTTTCCAGGCCGCCGACCTCGATCTTCGGTTAAAGGATCCGAGGTGGGCAAAGAATTGACGTTATGGTTGGGTTCTTCGGATACTGCGTCATCCGAGACATTCTGTAATGGAGAATTTTTCTTATTATCCGTCGAGGTGGAATGAATTCCAATGGATGGTATGAAAGTGACAAGTTCCCGAGCTTCTCTCTGGTCTCTGAAGTGCGTCCCTTCTCCTCGTGTAGTCGGGAATTTTAGTGCGTAGTGAAAGATCGAAACCGCAGCTCGAAGTTTATACAATGCTGTTCTACCAATGATGGCATTATACTCGTTGTTGATATCAAGAATTTTGAAAGTCTCCATGACGAGCTTGGTGACGTTCTCTGAAGTGCCAAATCTGACTGGTAAAGTGATCTCGCCGATAGGCTTTGAAATACTTCCGTTGAATCCTTGTATTTGGTCATTGCAAGGTCGGATGTCGGCGGGATCAAGACCCATTTTGTCGAAAGCTTTTAACATCAAAATGCTCGAATAGGCCCCAGTATCTACCATAACGCGATGAACGGGAATTCCACATATAGGGACAGTGATAACAAGCGCATCGGAATGAGGGTGTGTGAAATGATTGGCGTCCTCCATATTAAAGGTTATGGGACAGTTTCGATTGTTGAGAATGTCTCTCAAATCGGTGGTGTAAACTTGTTTGCCGGAGTTGTACGCTTGTCGGGCATAGGCTTTAATTTGTCGACGGGACAATGTACTTCAGGAGTTTTTGGTGTTGACACGGTGGACGGTGATTTGCATCGGTTTAGGAGATCGATCTCGCTTACGTCCTCGGGAAGCTCCAGCAAAGTTGGGAGTGGGGGTTTCCGAGGTGAGCATGAATACTTCCTTGTCTCCTTGCCGGATGCGTTTTGGCATGGCGCCGCGGTCCTCCTCGTCGTCTTCATCATATGATTCAATCTGACGCCCTGGACCCCTTTTCTGAGGGTCGGTATTGCGGTAGAATTTTCTAAGCTGCGGATGGCCAATTAAACGCAACAGGGCAGCTAACAAGCTTAAACATTCATCTGTATTATGCCCTGGCGATTTATGATAATCGCAATACCGGGATTTGTCTAATTTCTCTTCAGGCATCCGAAGTGGTTTGGGATCCGGTAGGATACCTTTCCCTTTGATTTCTTCATATATGGTGGCTGCCCCTGTGGAATATACGGTTTGATAACCGGACTTCACATCGGTTGCATACTGTTTTCGAGCTGCTCGAATTTCAGGATCGTTGGGATCTCCACGAGGAGGTCCTCTGAACTGAGTTTTGTTTTGTTTTTCAAAAAAATTGTTTTTTTTTCTCATCGGTTCCCGCCGTGGATGACTTCGGGTTAAAATTAAAGTCAGGGACGGACATGGCTTCCTCGGCTATGATGTGCTGCTGAGCTCTAGCAAGAAATTCTTCAAAGGTGTTTGGTTTATTTTGACATAATGTCCAGCGGAAAATTGAATTCGGTTTCAGCCCGGCAATAGCCATGACAAGCAGGGTTTCGGGATGACAAGGCTCCATGTTCTGGACTCGATCGTTAAATTGGGCGCTATAGTCCATGACACTTTCATCATCTTTTTGGGTTACGTTTGCAAGAGATTCTTTTGGAATTAAGCAGACTTGGGCCCCGATGAAATGCGAGCGGAACGCCGACCTTAATTGTTGCCATTTCCAAATAGAGTGAGGAGGAAGAGAGTGGTACCACTTTTGGGCCCGAGGTCCCAAGGTGAGGGAAAACATGCGACACCGAAGTGCGACGGAGGCCCCATGCAGATCCATCCACGAGGTATAATGACCGAGATGTGAATTGGGATCCGAAGTTCCATCATATAGCCCTATTTGAGGGACTTTAACTTTCCCAGGTACGGGTTCCAACGTAAGCTCCGGAGTGAGAGGGGAGTCGGCATCCAAATATACTTGCGCCGAGGTTGAGGCCCGTCGAGGGGGGTCTTCGGGTGCCCGTTGCCGACTTTCCAATTCGGCAATTCTCCGTCGCAATGTTTCAAGTTCGGATGACTCTTGACGAGCACGATTTCGTTCTATGTGTTGCCGAAGGTCAGTCTGCGCCGGGTTGGAGGAGTTTCGGTGCCGCGTATGAGGCGGTGACCGTCGTGAATGACCAGACTGGCTTTCGGCGGTTTCTTCGTGAGGAAGTATAGGGGGATTGCGCCCGACGTCGGTGCGACGTGTGGTTTGTTCCGGAGGCGGTAGTGACGCTCGACTGCGGGGTTGAGACGTGGCGTGAGATGTGGTCCTTCCGCCATCTTGTCGTGCCGGTGGATTTTGTGGATTTGCAGGAGTCGTTGGTATTATAGAGTGTCCCGGGGCAGTCGTGGATGTTCCGGGAATCATTTGAGCCATCAGAGCGGCGAAACCACGCGCAAACTCCGGATTTTGAAACAGAACAGTGTAATCTGGTATAGGGGGAGCTACGGCGTGTCGTCTGGCAGATTGCGCAGCGCTACGACTGTGACCATCGCGTGAGGTATGGCCGCGATTATCAGAATGAGACATGCTTGGTGTAGCTGAAATGGTAGCTGAAATGGAAGTAACCTCAAATCACTTATGAGGCCCTTCCTCTAGTGCCAAACTGTTGTCGTATGATTCTTAACAACGATGTAATGTTGAGTTTATGTGATAATTTCAAGTGGTTTGGACGTAAATCATACAAGAAAAACTCAACAGTGGCCCCAGTCCAAGGTGGACCGAGGTGAAAGGCCTTTATGGGCTGCTCCGTGTTTCATTGTAAAACTGTTGAGTTCCGAATCGAATCCCCTTACAGATATCAGTGGCTACCTATTTATAGTAACCTTTTTTGTTCACACATTGGGATCTGTGCATCGTTTTGATATAAAAAGCTATTTTCGAAGGGCGGTTGGATCAGTGGGCCCCTGCATGAATGATGACAAATCTCGTAGATCGTGACAGGGGCATGTAGGCGCCTCGTCACCTGCTTTCGGGATGACGACCTCGGTTCATGTTGACCTCGGTTTAGAATGATTTCGGCGGGAGAGGATCACTTCGGTCTTTTACGGTTGTACCGGTTTATTGTGCGAACCGGGATGACTCTAAGTTTCATCGGTATCCGAGTAAAACTTGCTTATGGAGCTGTTTTGGGCCTTTAATTACGATTTACCGAGTCGGATGATAACAGTGCACTCCAAGGAACTATCTCTCTCTCTTTATTCTCTCTCGCACGCACGCCCTTGCACCGTTTCACTTGCGCGCTGCCTTCATCGGCCCTAGTCCTCGAGGACTAGGGCACCGCCTTTAGCGCGTGCATGCTCCCCTGGCGTATCGCGCACGCCTGCGCCTTGTGCGCCCTTCCCGAGCGCGTGCCCCGCCGCCAGTCCGCACTCTTCAAAGAATGGGGCTTCGCGCCCCGCGCGTGCTCGTGCGTCATCCGCGTCCTTCGCGCGCTGCTCCACTGCGCTCGTCATGCGCGCGTCTTCGCCATTCAACCGCGTCCTGCTCACGCACGCCAACCGCGCACACCCGCTGGCCAACTCCCGCTCGCCCATCACGCATGCTAGTTGCGCGTGTTCGTCCTCGCCCGTTATCAGGCCATTTCTGTACCCCTCGCGCGCACTATGCTCAAGTGTGCGCATTTCTGCTGT